ATCCTGATATAAAACACATCCTGATATAAAACAGATCCTGGTGATAAAACAGATCCTGATATAAAACAGATCCTGATGATAAAACAGATCCTGATATAAAACAGATCCCGATAATAAAACAGATCCTGATATAAAACAGATCCTGATGATAAAACACATCCTGATATAAAACAGATCCTGATATAAAACAGATCCTGATATAAAACAGATCCCGATAATAAAACAGATCCCGATGATAAAACAGATCCTGATGATAAAAACTAAGATGAAATCTGTGTTTAATTGTCGTTGACGAGATGTGATGTTAATGTTGGTGACTGTCGACACTGGCTACGGTTACATGATAGCTTCTCATTCAGAATGAAATAAATCTGAATGAAATCATTCTGAATTAAAGTCTTTCCAGGTAGTTTACATGGGAAATATTCATTCTGAATGAGGGTTTACACAGAGATCAGTTCAATCACCTTTATTCAGGTCTGCGCAAGGTTTGGGGCAGGGAAGGTTTCTGATTGGGGGGCGGGGCGGATGTTACGTGTTTATGTTTACCGGAAGAAAACACTGTATAGTCCTCGCTCCGGATAACAAGATGCTTGATGACGCCGTTCTTAGTGCGTTTTTCAGGTGTGTTTTGCTTATATTCTTGAAACAGCAGTACGACAACAACCTTGTTCTGCTAATGCTTCGTCTGTTGAGGAGGAGAAGGGAGGTAGAAGGTCGAAGAAGGGAGATAGAGGACCGTGCTGTGGAGAATGGAAACCGGTGAGCTCAACGAGTCCGACTGCTCTATCTCAGCCCGTTGCTATGCAGCTCGTTGCTATGCGCACTATATACGTCATCGCGCCAGAAGGGCAAGGAAACGAGCATGCGCAGAAAGACCGGAACGAATTTAAAGAGGAATGAGTGTATACATGCACACAAAATTCTTACATTCGGAATGACAAACGGAATAAACCACCCCCTTTAATCGGATTTAATTTTCAATCGGAATGACCGTTTACATGACCACTTTTAATCGGAATGGCCTTTCATTCCGATTAAAAGTGGAATTAAACTGGGCATGTAAACGTATTGACTGACAGCTTACTTGATCTTCAGATGCGTAATGAGCGTCAGGCTGTTAACTCCAGTAAATAGTCTGCACCAGTTTGACAGTTGTAAATAATCAACGTGCTTGAGAGCATCACAAGAGATGCTGAGCTTCTCAAATGATGGTCAGTGTGTGTGTTCATAAATCATTAAACCTGTCACACACTGCTGGAGACATGACACACACACATCATTTCATACACCCTGTCACCTTGAGTCTGAAAACACAGATAGAAAACATCAGGACTAAAGGTGAATAAACATTTTTAATTTTCGTCGACTAAAATCTTTTAAATTTTCAAATGAAACTTTTTGAAGTTTCAACTAAAATATTTGCGTTTTGTCAACTAAAACTGTGAAGGATAAAAATGACTAAAATGTGACTGACACTAATAAACACGTTCGTCAGAATGAACACTGACGGCAGCTCAATTATGTTTCATATGAAAACAAGTTTCAGCTGGAAAATGAACCTGTAAAACAACGAACACTACAATGAACTGATGGCTGCTGTCTGCGCTGTAAAATCAAAATGAATATATTTGTCATGTGATGTGTTGGGCCTTCAGTGTCAGTTTTGACTCTGATTCTGGATCACCGTGAATGTTTTTATCATTTATTTATTTATTGACTTTATACAAACTGTCATGTTAATGTGTGTTCGATTAGCTGTTCACTGTCCCTTTAACATCACAGCTGCTAGTTAGCATGTTAGCTTAGCTGCAGTTCAAACCAGCATACAACACTAGAAATGCTAACCATGTTAATATAAAAT